ATGATGGAGGGATTATTGGGGGTGCTGGAGGTAGGGCAGCTCGATTCTGGTGATTTTTGGCGGGGGGGAGTAGATGTAGAGGACCGGGCGGTGCACTGGATGGGCTACACTAGTGACACCCATGTCATGGGGAGGGGAACGAACACTAGGGAAAGGGGGCCAGCACGGACAGAAGATCCCCCATACACAGGCCTCGTTGTAAGGAAGATGACTGCTGCATGCAGGGCTGGTGCCTGGAGCAAGCAGCTTCACCACCACCACCCATGCCGCCGCCTCACAGTCCTCAAACTCCCCAACCTCCTCGAGCACCTCGGCGGCACGGGTCAGCGACCCCGCCCGGCGCGCGGCCTCCGGCGCCTCCATGGCGGGCAGGGCGTCCTCGTACTCGGCGCTGCTACCGTCGTGGTCCAGCATGCTGTGGGGAGGAGGTGGGGAATGCCGGGCGTGCTCTGAACAACTCCCATGGGCCTGCAGGTGCAGAGCACTCCGGGAGTCCTCAAGCGAGCCCTCGCCTACCCCCCCAAACCCCACTCATTCCAGCTTTCTCTCACTCCACCCACTCCAGACTTGCCTGCCGGGAGGGGGCTCAGCCTGTCCGACGTCCTCGTCCAGGTTGTCGGTGCTCTGCGCGCCGCCCATGCCGATCTGGGCGCCGTTGATGGCGCGCCGCAGCAGGGCCCCGATCACCATGCCCATGGTCGTCCTGCCCCCCCCCTGACGAGGTTGTTCGGTTGGGTGGTGGTGTGAGGGAGGTACCCCAGGCCATACTCCCCGCACCAACAGACCTTGGCTTCTCAATCTACCCGCTCAAACCCACCCTCCAGGCAATGTAGGTTACAGCCTGACAGGCCCCACCGTTGGGCCCCCCTCTCCCCTCCCTTCTACCCCCCAGCCCCCCAGCCCCAAAGCTCCACACGCCCTCACCATCTGGCAGGTGTAGATGAGCTGGTCGCCCGGGGCCGCGGCCGCCACGGAGGAGTAGAAGGTGTCGAAGTCGGCGATGAGGGGCGCGGTGCCGTCGGTGAGGGGCACCCTGACCAGGGTCACGCGGTACCCCGCCCCCGCCAGCCCCCGGGCGATCGACCGCGGCGTGGCCACTTCGGCCACGAGCACCAGCTCGTCGCGCAGCGTGCGCCTCGCGCCCGGCCCGCCGCCCTCCTCCTCCCGCGTGACCAGCAGGCGGCCGGCGCGGGCCGCCGCCTCGCTCTCCACGTCGGCGGCCAGCCGCTCCTCCATGCCCTCCAGCCGCTCGCGGCCGATGCCGCGGTACTCCATCAGGTTCTTGAAGGGGCGGGAGGCCTCGCGCAGGACGTAGGGCGCGCCGTTGACGTAGACCACGGGCTCCTCCCGCATCAGCGTCCACACCGCGCGGCACTGTGGCGTGGATTGCTCGTCCATGGATGAGGGGGGCTGGGGTGCCTGGACATGGACCCCGGACCCCAAACTCACATGTGTGCGCCTTGCACCGGACACCGTCCGACCCCTGATCGGCTGCCCTCATGTTCTCCACACTCCTCCTGGATGAACAGTATCTGATCCTCCCCCCGCCTCCCCCCCCCCTATGACCGGCTCACCTGGCCGCCCGCGGACCTGCCCCTGGACCGCGGCCCCGCGCCGACGTGCTCCAGGATGCCGCGCATGCCCTCGCGCGTGGGGATGGCGCCACCCCACACGCCCACCCCCGGCAGCTCCCTCAGGTTGGGCGCACCGGGGACGATGATGGCCAGCCGCTCCGACTGGCAGCCCGGGAAGTGGTCCTGCTTCAGCAGCGTGCGCGGGCCCAGCACGGCGCCGGCCCGCGCCGCGCGGTGCGCCGCGATCTCCCTTTCCTCCTGCGTGGGCGTGGCGGCGGGGGACAGGCCGGCGACGGGGTCGGGGCCCCCGCTCGGCACCGCCACGCGGAGGCGGGGCGAGGCGTCCGCACCAGGGCCCCCCGCCGCGGCGCGGGCGTCCGCCGCGCCCTCCTCCGCCTCGTACTCGGTGGCGTCGGCGGCGGGGCGGCGCCGCGCGCCGCCGCCGCCGCCGTCGTCCAGCGCCAGGGCGGCCAGCGGGTTCATGCGCAGCAGGCGCTCCAGGATGGAGGCCAGCTCGCGCCGCTGCGCCGACCAGCGCGCGTAGCCCGGGTCGTCGCCGGGGTCGTACCCCGGCGCGCCCACGTAGGAGGCAAAGGCGATGAGGCTGTAGTACCGCTCCAGGTACTCCAAGCAGACGGTGAGCAGCGCGCCGCGCCGCGCGTCGTTGCGCTCGTAGGCCATGCGGTCGCGGTAGGCCAGGATGGCGGTGCGCAGGTTCTGCATGCCCGCGCACGCGTCCAGCGCCATGTCCAGCACGGCCTGGAGGTGGGTTTTGGGAGGGGGTTAGTCATGGGGTTGAGTCATCTATTGCATAAGGTAGCTTGGGGAGGAACCAGGGAGGGCCCTGGCCGGCCTGTGACTGGGCGCTGCCATCACCATTCCATCGAAACACCGACTCCCTCCCTCTCCACCCCCCCCATCCACCTTGCTGGCGGCGCCGCCCTCCAGGACGCGCAGGAGCGAGCGCACCGCGCCCCAGTTGCCGGCCTGGAGCTCCGCCTCGCCCACGTCGGGGGAGGCGGCGGGGCTGGCATCCTCGTCAGCGCCGCCCGGCGCGGCCGCAAACCAGTCGGGGAAGGGGGCGCCCAGCGCCTGCTGCGGCGGCCCGTCCCAGAAGGACCGGGGGATGGAGGGCCTGGCGCCTGGCTCGACCTTCGCCCCGGCCCCAGACGTCCTTTCCTCGCCCGCCCGGGCGGCAAGACCCGCACGCAGGGCCAGCAGCGTCCCGATCACCATGCCCGTGGTGGTCCTCCCCCGCCCCATCTGGCAGTTGAACACCAGCGCAGCGCCCTTGGGTGGCTTCCAGCACCTCTATATGTTTTTTTTGGAGGGGGGGGGTTGACGGATGAGCATGCCTCTGGCGCTCAAACGGGTCCATGCCGCCTATGGAACACCCCCCAACTGCCCAGATGCGCTGTCAGATCCCCTCAGTACACCTCTTGCGCCCCCTCCACTCCCAGGCATCACCTTGATCAGGGCGTCAAAATCCCGGCCCTTGGGCGCCTTTTCATCCGTTACGGGGACCCTCAGGTAGTCGATGTCGTACCCGTCCTCTGTTTGGGGCGGAGGCAATCACGTGTCGCTGGAGATACTGTCCGGTACACGTCCGCCGAGCACCCCTCCTCATACGCACAGAGTCGGCGCTCCATGCACCGCGCCGGGCATCCCCCTGTGCGCCATGGGTTGTTGCATCACAGCGCCACACTCCCTGCGAACCCCGCATGCCCCCTACATAATCCTCCCCCCTCACACCCACAGAACAATGTATCGATTCCAGCTTTCCCCATCCGCCCCACCCACCGATGAGTTCGCGGTACACCTCCGCGGGGGTCTGCACGTCGGCCTCGCTGACGGGCTGCCAGGCCTGCACCACCTGGAACTGGTCGTCCTCCTCGGCCACCAGGATCTGGGCCCCGTACCGCGCCGACTCCTGCAGCACGTCCAGCTTCAGCCTGGCTTCCATGGCCTCCACGCGCTCGCGGTCAATCCCCGTGTACTCCAGGTTGGCAAAGGGCTTGTCGGCCTCGCGGACGACAAAGGGCGCGCCGTTGACATACAGCACCGGCTCCTCGCGCATGCTGTGCCAGAGCACGCGGCGCCTGCCCTTGGCCGCGCCCAGCAGGTCCAGCACCCGGCGCAGGCCCTGCACGGTGGGGATGGCCACGCCATACACGGGGAGCCCCGGGACCTGCCGGAAGTTGGGCGCGCCGTCCACCAGCGGCCGCAGCTTCATGTTCTGGCAGCCTGGGGTGGTGCAGAGGAGGGGGGGGAAGACACGGGGGGAAGATCAGGTGCGAAAGGGGGTGAGGGCAGGAGACCAGGCTGTGAGTTTTGAATGGACCTCATAAACTCGAGGCAACACAGCTGCCCGTCCCAACACCCCAGCCCGCCGAGGCACCCCTCATCACGCGGTGCGCCCTCGGCCCCACCCCCCAGCACCCCAACCTAGGCCTGCTACCCACCGGGGAAGTGGTCTCCCTTGAGGATGGTGTGGCGCAGGAGCACGTCCCCCGACCGGCGGGCCACGACCTCCTCGGCGGAGAGGACATCGGACTGGTCCGCATGGGGGGACCGGGGGGTACTGGGGGCCGGTGACAGCATCACCTGGGAGAAAAGGGGGATGTGAGGGGCCGATGACACAGCACTCAATTACTCTTCTCCAAGCAGCGGGGTAATGGGTCCTAGTGCGGGTATTGGCCACATTCCTCTCCGGCTCAGTGCCGTGGAGTGATCATCAGTAGGGCGTAGTAAGCAAACAACATGTGTCTGGAGGAGAGGATAGCGCGCTCACGCCTCCTAACAGTCTGCCACCCATTTAAAGAAGCAAAATTATCAATCACTCGTCACCTTGTCCTCGGTGGAGACCTCCATGCCCTCCTCCTCCCCGAGGCCAGCCACGCTCGGGAGTGTACTCAACTCGTGGCCGCACCTGTAGCTTCACTGGGGGAGCATAAAACCCTTGATGTAGAGATCCGTAACTTCAATAAGCAACATGCCATGTGCATAAGCCTGGTGCGAGGGGCTGGGACCTGGAGCACCTGTCGGGGTTGTTTCGGGGATGGACATCGCGCGCGCCCACATCCCGGTGGAGGGACACCCTGATGCAGGGTGGATGCTCTACGGCAGCAAAACACAGGAGACAGAAGTCTTGCAGCGCCTTATCCACGCGCGTTCTACGAGATTACTGAACTGCTCGCCTTGTGCACCTCATCGAAGGAGCTGGCAGCGCCATGGATGTCGAGGTACCCAAGGACGTCGAGGCACAGCTCAGTCGCTTGGAGGTGCGCAAAAGATTTTTGCGATACGTTTGCACCATCTTATATAAGATGAATGACGTATATATGTCCACCGCAGGCGTCATTGGATCAGCTGAGCACCGGGATGGAGGGACTGGGCTCCCTCTCCCTCAAGGACATCGCCGGCTCCGCCCTTGCCTCCCGCGACCAGGCCCAAGCCCTCCTGGCGCTAGCCATGGGGGCGAACACCCTGCTTCGTAGCCATTCACAGCTGCATGGGAGGGACCCGGACTCACACGTTCAGCTATATAAAGAGCAGGCACGTCGGGGTTACAGGACAGGGTGATGGGACCACTCCCTGCTCCCAGGCTATAGTGAATGGTGCAGTAAAAGATTCTGCAAGTTTAGCAGTGCTGCACACTGCTTCCCTACCATTGTTCACACTCAGCTTTGGGCCCTGGTGCGGTCCTCCCTGACATCGTGGGTCCATCGGTCCAACATCTGCTCAGACCCATTAATCCACCAGGCACGATTGGACCAGTATGTGGAGAAAGTGAGGAAAGCGGTGCGGACACATGAGCTGGCAACCTCCAGGCGAACCTTGGAGATGGATGTAGCCGCAGTGAACCGATTCATATCACATGCCGTGTCCGACAAGGACGTCAAATGGAAGCTGCAGCAGCCTCCGAGCGAGAAATGGCAGCCGGGCACAGATGATACACCTGCCTCTGCCATACCGATGGACAAGCAGACATTCCTACAAGAAACCTTGAGCAGCATTGCCCAAGAGTGATTGCTCCCCGCCAAGACCAGCCTGGGATACAAAAAGCCCTTGCATGTCAGTGCAGAACGGCTTTGCCCCACAGCCCTAAACTGGCCCCTGCACCCATCTGATGCAATACCTCATGTGTTGATGGTGCCTCCCGTTGGTAAAGGATTTACAAGCTTGAGACACTGCTCTGGATGTATACTGAAACATTGATGATCGAAAAGCAGTACCACGATGGGGTCAGCCCTGGCTTTGACCGCTGGCCATGCTCTGACACTCAGAAACACGGGAGCTCGCACACATCTGGCCGTGCTGGAGTCCCCACGCCATGCTCCCAAATTAAGCCAGGAAACCAAGCTTCTCTCCGTTTTTCTTTGCTAGGCGGATCAGGCCTTGACTTTGAGAATTGCTCACTCCAATCTTTTGACAGAAACCCTTGATGACTGTGAAAATGGGGAATGTTGGGAAGGCACGGATGAGTCAGTGCTTGGCGGGCCATCTCACAATGCCCTTTATGTAAGGCCTGCCCAAGTGGACAGCGCTGGGCTTGATGCACTAGGCAAGGAGGCAAGCCGGCACACCTGCTCCCAGCACATCATGCACAATCCAACCCAAATGCTTCCCAGGTCACCCTACCTTGCGAATGGAGAGAGATGGCCTTGCCACGGAGCTGGTTAAATTTTTTGGTTCCCAGCCTGTCTCTGACGATGCGCACTATGGGGGCAAAGGGCCCGGTCGTGGCTTTGTTCCCGGCAACGACGGAGAGAGGTGTCCTCCCTGCGGAACCGTGAACGTTGATAGCCAATGTCAATAGCTACTCAAGATACGCTCATGCGCGCCGGAATGCGCCAGTTACGATGCAGAGGGTGCCCTGCAGCAAGCACTGGACCCCAGTTAAAACATCGCGCCCCGCACGCAAGGGGCATGCCTGCGTGTGTTGGTCGAGCCGGCCCATGCTGGGATGCCCAGGGGGCGGCGAAGGTAGATGCTGTGGAGGTCAGGGAGCAGTACTGTTTTGTCCTGGAGGTTGTCCTGATGGAGCCGTTGAATCGTTGGTTGCTTGGGCTGCACCCAACGCTGCACCTCGAGCACGCAAGAGTCTGCATGGGAATCTGGTCACGCTACGTCTCCAACTTATAACTCTGCATGCGCAATTATGCAATAAAACAAAGCCTACGCGAAGTCAGTAACTTTGGAAACTTCCAGGGCTCGCGACCCACCCGGCTAGCCCCCTCGCCCCTCGCGCTTTATCTCGAGGATCCTCCGGCGCGCCGGGATCATCCAGGCCTCTGGGAGTGCATTCTGCCCGGCTCTGATTTCTTCATATCACGACAACCATACATTCACACCCTCGATGACAATATGACGCAAGGGGACAGGGTTCAACCTTCAGCATGATACACCCTGCTTTGCCTGGGGTCAAGGGGAAAGTAATTCTGTCAGGGAGTGGCCCCATCTGTGCACAAAATATACATGAAAGGACATGATGCCTTCGCTGTCAAAGTCAACTTCAAAACCTCTGCGTATGAAAACACTTCTACGTCCGCCAAGATTGCCAATGTTGCAACCTGCTGGCACAAGGAACCGCGCTCCTGAGAACAGACCTTGCCGCCAGGACCACAACAGGGCTCAAGCCTCATTCCGGTGTACTAGCGGCACATACTGCACACTGAACAGGCCCTTTGTCTTGACGTGGCCTGTATAATCCTTGTCGACCACAGTGAGCACCTGGGTAGACAGGGTATGTGGCGAATGGGGGGTAGGGATTTTGTCACTTGCTACTCCCGTCAGGCGGGCACTGCAGCTACCACCCCCGAACCCTGCCCAGCATCCTCCTGGTGTGGATCTGCCAGAGTACTTCAACCCCTCTACCCGGTGGGTTCAGACTTTTGAGGACTCGTGCTATCCAAGGTGGCCATCAATCCTATACAGTCCTGCTCTATTCCACTGCTTACTCCCAGCATTGACGACCAACCCCCATCACCACCCACCTGCTCCTGCCCATCAAGGCCCACCGGCAACACCAGTCTGCCACCTGGTGCCAGCTGGCGCACCAGGGCCTGTGGCACCGTGGCGGCTGCCGCCCCCACATGGATTGCGTCGTATGGGGCAGACTCGGGCCAGCCCTGCCACCCATCCCCCACCCTGAGCTGCAGGATGCCTGTGGGCGCCACAGGGAGTGGCAGTGACCAGCAACACACCCTGCAGGTCTTCCCTGCCTCCGCCAGACACACCAGGACTTGCAAGCATGCCTGCACGTGCCCATCCAGTCATCGTGGCGCTCCCGAGACGCACCTGCATCCAGCAAAGGCCGCGAGGTGGGGTCCCGCTCCGCACTCTGGAGGGCAGCCTCCACCAGGGTGGGAATGTACTCCACGCCGATGACGAGGCCAGGGGCCTTTGAACCTCTGTCCTGTACCAGGGTGGCCATGACAGCCGCCAGGTATCCGCTCCCTGAGCCGACATCCAGCACCTGCCCGGGGGAAATGGTGTAAAACATCGTCATGGAAAACAAGGCTACATCATTGGAGATTCCATCTCAAACATGGCAGGATCTCCCACGGATGGCTTTTGGAGAACAGCAGCTGGGAGGGTGGTCGCTCCTTATGAGCACCGACCTTGGCACCTGGAGTCAGCCAAGGGCTCAGAGCTTCCAAACAATATGCATGCATGTGAGGTGCCGAGATGGTTGCGCCGTGACCGATGGGGGACGGTGCATCCATGTATGCCATCTGTGAGTGTCCAGTAATGGCCAAAAGGTGTCAGTGACGCCATCGAGCACATGTTTCGGCGGCGGGCGATCCGACACCGAGGACTTGCCTGCGGGATGCTGGCGAAATTGCCGCGATCGACCGCCATCATGCCCCGTTCCACCTTCTCGCTCTGAATAACGCCTCGCCCTGTGGTTCAATGTTGATAATGTGCTTTGGGAAGCCTGCAAAATGATAGCCCCCAGTCTCGGCATGGCACCACTTACGCCGCAACTCCTCGACGAGGGCCGTGTTGTCGGCACATACAGTCCGCTCCCGCATGGTATGTTGTCCAGCCCCTCGGGCGTGTCCCAAGACACAAGGGTGTGTCGATGTGAGGATGACGGATGCCAGGGCCAGACCTGCCCGTCTGCAGAATGATGAACGGTGGAGGGTAATGGGGCTTCCCATGTCATGTACGTCGGTCACTGCGAGGAAACATGCACAAGATAATCCAGGGGCAGAAACTGGCCTGGTGTGGCATTCTCAAGCAGACATTCTCATCGGCCATATCTGTCAATTATCTGCAGATGTTATTCGAGGATCTTACGATCGAAGGGGTCGCGCAGGGAGGTGTAACACTTGGACCTACATGGCGGGAGCTGGCGGTGTACGTAAACAGCTGTGCAACCGGCGCAAGCCCGGTAGCGACATATCTTCGACTCGCTCGAAGCATATGTTGCATTAGCTTTGCGATGTGCCATTTGCTCAACCCCTTGTGTGAGTTCTAGAAGAGGCTCTGTGAATCAACATGATAATCAATAACTCCACCATTCCAATCATCAAGTCCCACTCGTCCTGACGAGCGACGACGTAGTTTCTCAGAGTTTCGGTCAGGACTCAAAGATGGAGTCCCGGATCAGCCAGGCTGACAGGATTTGACCTGGAGGTTTAGTAATGCTATAGGAGGGTTAGGGGGAATTGCACGAATTTGGGAAGGGATGCATTGCCTGAAATGGAAAGGGGCACCCTCAGTGCCACTAAAGCTTCACCTTGACCAGATGTAGAGTTCAAAGCACTGCATTACATTATCACTGGTTGGTGCAGCAAGCTGCGGAAGGCTGTTGTATAATCTTTGAGGTGCACTCTCTTCGCAGGTCCCAACCCATGCCACCCTGCACGCCCACCAGTACGTGCGGGTCCGCAACGGTGAGGAGAAGCTGGTGGACGTGTGGGACACCAAGCGGTGCGGCAACAAGGCCTGCAAGGTCAACGTTGTCAACCGCGACGTGAACGGAGCGGCCAACATCCTGATGTTGACCAAGTGCTTTTTTGCTGGTGCACTTCGTCCCACTGCATTTGGTGGCCCCCCTGCTTCCCCTTCTCCCGCCCTCCCACCCCCTCTGGTTCGCCGATCGAGGCAACCAACTGCGCCAGTCAGATCCCGCTTGCGGGAAGCAGCTGTGCAACCGGCGCAAGCCCGGTAGCGACATATCTTCGACTCGCTCGAAGCATATGTTGCATTAGCTTTGCGATGTGCCATTTGCTCAACCCCTTGTGTGAGTTCTAGAAGAGGCTCTGTGAATCAACATGATAATCAATAACTCCACCATTCCAATCATCAAGTCCCACTCGTCCTGACGAGCGACGACGTAGTTTCTCAGAGTTTCGGTCAGGACTCAAAGATGGAGTCCCGGATCAGCCAGGCTGACAGGATTTGACCTGGAGGTTTAGTAATGCTATAGGAGGGTTAGGGGGAATTGCACGAATTTGGGAAGGGATGCATTGCCTGAAATGGAAAGGGGCACCCTCAGTGCCACTAAAGCTTCACCTTGACCAGATGTAGAGTTCAAAGCACTGCATTACATTATCACTGGTTGGTGCAGCAAGCTGCGGAAGGCTGTTGTATAATCTTTGAGGTGCACTCTCTTCGCAGGTCCCAACCCATGATCAAGTCCAACTTCCCCCTCACATCTTGGAGGGGGACTGCCCACCAGCCTTTCTCAAGACAATCATCCTCGCAGTGAGGGTGTGGACCAGCGGCTCGGCATCTGCTTCCGGACATGTGGCCAGAAATTTCCTGCGCAGCTCCTCCATGAAGGCGGGACCACGAAGAATGGCCAGAGCCCTCCAGGGGCCTGCCGTGCTCAGGATCTGGTGAAGACGACGGGTTGGAGAGGAGGATGAGGGTCATCAATTGGGACAATGGAGGATGTGTGTAGAGCAGAATCTGTAGGGACCGCCGTAGATTCTGTCCATCCCAGATTCTCAGGGCTCAAATGCCCTGGCCTGGCAGGACGTCTCTGATTCTCTGCTGGGTACCAATGAAGGCTTCAACCAGACACAGGGACCTCTTGCACCCTGCTCCATGGCCTCACATCAAAGAAGGCCCCTGCACTGGGCCACTCCATGCTAAAGTCCAGTCCCTTGTCGGCTACGAGCTCCACTCCGGGCTCTTTCAGGGCTTCACCGGGGATGCCGACCTCCCAGTCAGCCGGCCTGTCGGCGGGTGGTGTCAGGGAGATGAGTGTGCGCCACGGTCCCTCCTGCTCCGCGATTTCGGGCCAGTAGGTGACTGCCAGGGTGCCGCCTGGTGCCAGGCTGGCAGCCCAGGACCTGAGGGTCTCTGCAGGTCCTGGGATGATCTGCAGACCGAAGCAGGAGTATATGCCGGTGATGGGACGGGAGCCGGAGAGTTGTGTCAGCGACTTGGCATCCCCTGCCATGGCAGTGACCCGCCTGTGGAATGCGAGGGAGGGGGGTGTCGGGAGGACAGAGGGGGAGTGTTCCCATCACGTTCGTTTGCAGGCTGACTGCAGGCCCTTGGCATGCTCTATCTGTCAACCCATACCTGAGGTTTTGATGCTGGATGACTCGCCTTGCAATGGCAACCATGCCTTCAGCAAGATCGACGCCGAGGATGTCATGGTTGGGCAGCAGGTCTGCAAGCAGAGGCAGCTCTTGACCTGCATGTGCATTGCAGCTCGGAGTGGAGTTGCAAGCAGCTTCCACGATGAGTTGTGCTTCATGTGGTACCTCCTGGTCACGCCAGGGGTGATCATAAGAGCTGGGGACACCGCTACCAGGCTTGCACCGTGTCTCACATACGAATCTGAGCAGGGCAGACTCTGCTCTTGCCTTGCCCTGCCCCACCTGGTCCGCAAGCCGGCACCACGACCAAGCCTTCCGGAATGCGGGTCGACCCAAAGGCATCCAGAGTGGCAAGTGTCCATGGCACGAAGCGGGGCACCATGTGCTCCTGGTACGCTGCTGCAGCCTCGCTCCAGGACCGCTGGAGCAACTGGGCCCGCGACATCGGTGTGCTCGGAGGCAGCAGGTCCCACGATGTAAGCGAGAGGCGTATTATCACAAACAGCGATATCTTAGTACCACGTATGCCAATCAGGACATGGCTCGACAAGTGAGCTCTCAAGCGTTGTCGGAGTTTTTCTAGCTCGCCAGGAGCGCGCGCAGCATTGGTTTTGACCCCCCTGCTAGGGAACCATTACACCCCGCACATCCACACAAACCAGAATCACATGCTCATGTTGGAAATAACCCTGCATTATTTCAGTAGAAGGCTCTGTCAAACAACTAACAGGTGATCTCGGATTGGCCTAGGTGATCACCAGTTCACTGGCCCCCTGCGCGACTGTGAGTCGGTCGCTTTGTACGTCGCTGCACCATGGCGACTTTGGTGGTCGTTCCAGCTATAGCTCCATATAGCCTGGCCGCAAAATGCGGGAGCGAGATCATCGCAACCTGCATCACGGTGAGGTGACGGCCAGGGCAGCGCCGTTGTGCGCGAGCAGGATGCGTGTACTGGCCATGAACAGCCCCAGCACAGCTCACGCCTCGTCTACCCCATTTACAGATCTATATCGGAGAGAGTATCCTTGCAAATGAATTGTTGGCCAAGACCAAGGTGACTTGGGTGGTGGGGCGGGCATGGCCCCTCGTCGAGGGTTTCAATGCGGCTCTGAAAGGGGCGAGCGCGCCTTGGGGTAGACGCCGCTGCAACACCGCCCCCGCTGCATCCTCGCAGGGCAATCGGATGGGCTGGGGTTTTGTGGCCTTTGGATTTGGCATGTCGTTTGGCATCGCCATCACACGTGAGGCTGAGCATCTGGCAGAGCTGTTTTGAGGACTGGCTTGTTGCTTCTTGACATGGGTGGTTGTGGTGGCAGCGGTTGGAGTCCATGCTCCCCCTCAGGTTGTCCAGGCCCCTGCGCTGGTTCCATGCCCCCAGCACAGCACCACTCTTCTCAGCGGTGCGTTCGTAGCCCCTCACACCGACACGCAACCCTGTCACCGCAGTGTTCAACTACATCTCTGCCCACCTCAACCCGGCCAGCTGCCTGGCGCTGTGGATCATCGGCAAGATCAATGGGTGGGTGATGAGGATTGAGGGAGACATGGGCCAGCAAACCGTCCGATCACGCCATCACCTTCCTGCATCCTTGTGTGCAGGCTTGCCGCCCCAAGCTCCCTCTCCTCCTTGCGTGCACGACCATTCCCCTTTCCTTCCCCTTGCAAACCACTCGCCAGGCTGGAGTTCCTGGCCCTCTCCGCTAGCGAGTTCCTGGGCGCCTTCCTGGGGGCCTGCCTGGTCTGGCTGCACTTCCTGCCCCACTTCAAGACCATCCCCGAGCCCCCCTCCAAGGCCGTGGATGACCTGCTGCTGCGCAGCCGCGACGCGATGTCGGCTGAGGCCCTGTCCATCGCCTCGTACAACACGCGCGGGCAAGACAAGGCGCGGCGCGAGGGCCCGCGCAAGGGCATCGGCAGCGTGCTGGACGACATGCGCTACTTCCTCAGCGCCGACAGCGCGCACCCCGAGGACCATGACGAGCTGCTGAAAGTGGTGAGCCGGATGGGTGTGCGGTGTTTACTTCCGTCGCCCTCGTGCGCTGTGACACCAGATCGCCGGCCCCTGCTCCCAACCCTGCGCGCCGCTCTGTGCTTCAGCATCCCGCACACACCCCTTCCCCCTTTCCTGCTCCAGGCTTTTGGCGGGCCGGCCACGCTGTACACCGTGTCGCCGGAGCCCGTGGACGACAAATCCGACGGGCGGCGCGCGGCGTTGCGCCGCCGCTCCGTCCAGGTCGCCGACGTCCACCGCCGCATCAAGGACATGGACCTGGAGGTGGGTTCATCCTGTGGGCCCCCCAAAGGGAGGGGGCGGTTTCGTACCGAGTACCTGCTCGCTGCCTACTCCCCCCGTCGCCGAGGCCAGTCAGTCCGGTCTTGGACCCCTCTGCACCCCAGCAGCTCGCCATTCCTGGTCGCCAATCTCACCCCACCCCCGCCCCTCTGCATTCCCCTCCGCACAGAACTTCCAGGCACTGCTGCGCGTGCCCAACGTGGGCGCGGGACAGCCGCTGCCGCCCTCCCAGTACGCCAGCGAGGTGGCGCTGGAGGTGGACCGCGCCTCGGTCAAGCGCTCGCGCAGCGTCTCGGCGCTGGAGCGGGAGGACGAGAAGCTGGGCGGGGGCACGCCTGTGGACGGCGCGCTGACGCCCGAGCCGGGGAAGGCGTACCGCGCCCCCGCCAGGCCGGGGGCGGGCAGGGTCGAGCCCGAGGCCAGCAAGCCCCGCACGGCGCGCGGCGCGGAGGCCGAGGCGGGGCCCACCGAGCGGCTGATGGAGGCGAGGCGGGCGCGTGGCGATGCCCTGTTCAAGGCTGCCATCGTGGCCGACCAGAACGCCAAGCTGTCCATCTTCGCCACCCGGCCCGCCATCCTCTCGCCGGTGGGTGGGTGGGGGTGCTGTCGTGGATCTGGCGCGCGATGGGCCGTCGCTGTGTGTGTACAGGTCTCCTGCGAGCCCTGGGTGTGCCCAGCCGGTAACGCAGGCGACAAGACAGCAATGCCCCACAGCCCACAACCCGCGCCGCGCCGGCCACCCGCGCAGGCATTCAACGCATTGTGCGAGGTCATGTGCACGGCCACGCTCATCCTCCTGTACCTGCTGCTAGTGGAGCGAGGCAACATGCTGTATGAGCCCGTGCGCTCCCTCTTCCTCACCACAGGTGAGGGTGAGGTGGGGGGGGGGGGGGGGGTTCTGTGTGGTGGGGTGTTAGGGCGCCTCGTCTCGCCATCGACAGGCGCATGGCCTCCTGACGGTCTGTGGGTGGTGTGAAGTGGTGGGTCGGCGTAGGGAGGTGCACCAGCCTGCGCGCCTGCGCTGTGCCCCCGGCCGGCCTCTTCAGAGTGACCCGAGGGCCAGGCATGCGCATCGTTCGGCTGCGGTACGTCAGGACACCCCTGCTGAGGGACGCCAGGCCCCGCTGTTTCCAGCCCTCCCCATCGCTCCCTGCCCCCACTGCCTGTCAAACAGTGGGAATGTGGGCCGGCTTCCTCATCTTTGTGCTCATCCTGGGACTGGGAGGCCCCACCGGCATCGCCGCCAACCCCGCCCGCGACTTTGGACCCCGCGTCGCCCACTGGATCCTGCCCATCCCGGGCAAGGGCCCCAGCGAGTTCTACTACGGCTGGATCCCGCTGGTGGCCTGCTTCGCGGGGGGCGCGGTGGCGGGGGCGCTCTTCAAGGCCATCGAGCACCTGAACCACTCCAATGTGCCTGCCGGCCTGGCCCTCTAGCAGGGCCGTGGGCGCCGATGGGACCAGGAGCGGTGTGTGTACATTGTTCCGCCCCTTTAACCATGCATTGTCTCCCTCCTCTGGCCAGGCCAGCCTGGCTTGCTTCCTTGCCACAGTTGGCTGCTGCCTGAGCAGCTCCAAGTCTCCCACATAGAAACCAGAAACACTGACTCCGTGCATGTAAAGCCTTTTGCCACTCCGAGATTGCCCAGAATGTCAGCAGCACATACAGCGTGCTGTTTTCCAGGTCTGGAGGCATCAGCTCAACATGTCCCAGGAATGGAGCCCTGACCTGGCCCTCCGCAAACGAGTGTCTAGAAGGAAGTAGCAAGATCATGCGATCATCCCCCCTGTATCCCTTGATTATTCGTTGTAACGGTCTCTGCGCATTGGCAGCGTGTACAGACGCCGTGTGATCTGAAGGCGGTCCAGATTCCCCTCGACACAGGGGTGGGCCGAAACCTCGCGTGAATCTCAACTCGAGTCTCGTGTCGGCTCTGGAGCTTGAAGCCGGCACAATGCAGGAAAGACATTGTCAGGGCACGTTTGCGCCGTGCCGCCGTGTGCCAGTGTGTTGCGGACCCCCGGTCTCGTTGCTGACTGGGAGCAAGAACTAGCGGGGGTTCTGGAGGTGCGTGCTGAGTAGGACCTGTTCAAGGCGTGATGATCAAAACCGGGGAGGAGTCGAGGCATCGCACCTGAGACCCCCCCACCCACTGCCATTTATTCAAAAACTCATTATATCGCGATTTTTCGTTCGTCGGCGTCGATCCCCGCAGCCGCATCCCCTCTCCAACCCCGCCTCCTTTTCGCCGAGATGGTGCAAGACGTTATCGGCTCCATCGATCAGGGCACCCAGTCGACCAGGTTCTTCCTGTACGACAAGGACCTGAACATCGTCGCCAAGAGCCAGGTGCCCCTCGCGGCGGCCACTCCCCACGCCGGGTGAGGGTTTTGCGTGTCGGGGTGGGGGCTGCCTGGGTGGGGGTGGCCAGGGCCTCGGGGGCCCGAAGTCCGATGCTGGCGTGGCCTATTGGTTTCTGATCACCCCATGCTCATCACATTCCACCCCCCCTTCCCCCTCCCCTCAGGTGGGTGGAGCAGGATGCGGAGGCCATCATCGCGAGCGTGTCGGAGGCCATCCGGCAGACGATGGAGTCGGCCGGCTCCAAGTACAACGTGCTGTCCATCGGGCTGACCAACCAGCGCGAGACCACGGTGGCCTGGGACAGCGAGACGGGTAAGCCCCTGACCCCCGCCATCGTCTGGTCCGACGCGCGCACCGCCGCAGTGTGCAAGGCCATGAGCGACAAGGTGGGCGGCCAGGACGGCCTGCGCGCGGTCACGGGCCTCCCCGTCTCCACCTACTTCTCCGCCTACAAGCTGCGCTGGATGGTGGAGCACGTCCCCGCGGTGGCGGCGGCGCTGGAGGCGGGCCGCCTCGCGTTCGGCACCGTGGACAGCTGGGTGATCTACAACCTGACGGGCGGCGTGAAGGGCGGCGTGCACATCACCGACGTGACTAATGCCTCGCGCACCAGCCTGATGGACATCCGCTCCTGCGACTGGCACGCCGAGACGGTGGCCGCCTTTGGCTTCCAGAAGGTCCTCCTCCCCCGCATCGTGTCCAACGCAGAGCGCTACGGCGTGCTGGCCAGCGGGCCCCTGGCCGGCGTCCCGCTGGCGGGCTGCCTGGGCGACCAGCAGGCGGCGGTGCTGGGCCAGCGCTGCGCGCTGGGCGAGGCCAAGAACACCTACGGCACCGGCTGCTTCATGCTGATGAACACGGGGACGGAGGCGGTGGCCTCCAGCCATGGCCTGCTGACCACGCTGGCCTACCAGCTGGGACGCGACGCCGCGCCCGAGTACGCGCTGGAGGGCGCCATCGCCGTGGCGGGGCAGGGCGTGTCCTGGCTCTGCGACTCGCTGGGCCTCATCGCCAGCCCCGCCGAGTCGGAGGCGCTGGCTGCCAGCGTGCCCCACTCTGGCGGCGTGTACTGCATCCCCGCCTTTGGCGGCTTGCTGGCGCCCTGGTGGCGCCCCGACGCCCGCGGCGTCATCGTGGGCCTGACGCAGTACTCCACCAAGGCCCACGTGGTGCGCGCGGTGCTGGAGTCCATCGCCTTCCAGACCCTGGACGTGCTGGCGGCCATGGAGGCGGACTCGGGGCACAGGCTGCGCCGCCTGGCCGTGGACGGCGGCGTGACCAAGAACCGCCTGCTCATGCAGGTGCAGGCCGACCTGCTGCAGTGCGAGGTGGTGAGGCCCGCCAACCAAGAGACCACCTCCCTGGGCGCCGCGCTGGCCGCGGGCATCGCCGTCGGGTTCTGGACCCGCGAGGGGCTCTTCGCGCAGGCCAAGGGAGGCGAGGGCACCGTCGTCTTCTCGCCCCAAGCCTCGCCGGAGTGGGCCTCCAAGCGCCACGCCAAGTGGAAGCTGGCAGTGCAGCGCGCCATGGCCCTGGACGAGCTGGCGGAGAGCGACGAGGAGGCAGAGTGATTGACCGCCTGTGGTTGTTCGATGGGGGGGACGGGTGTCGAGGATGCACGCCGGCGTGCATTGCGCGACGCTTGTGCGCATGTGAGTGATATTGACCCCCGCCCGTGCCGGCGCCGCGCGTCTTGTTCCGATGCTGCGGGGGACCCCTGGCCCCGCTTTCCCCGCTGCCCCCACCGATCCCACGCCGTCACGATTTTGTCTTGGGAACACCCACCCCATGCGAGCCCTGCTCCCCAAGTTTTTTGAAATGATGCCCCTGCCCTGGCTTTTCCCGCCAGCAGGAGGACAAACCACTGTAACGACCGGCAAGCAGAGAAGGGGAGGGGAGGACAGTCGCGCCTGTGATGCCTGGTCGAAGGAAGAGTCGTCGCGGGCTGGAGGTGCACCTTGTCGATGTGCCGTGCTGTAGTCATCCATGAATGTACCGTGAAGGTGTCCAGCGGCCACCTTTCGACCTTGTTACAGCACCCTCATCAGGGCCTTTAGCTCCACCATGCTGGATCCCCTTGCCTCACACAAACTCGATGCATGCTGAAATTGGGCTCGAATCTAATGTAATGTCGTGTTTAGATACCCTGTCGTAATAAGGGTTGGTTGTAGATCCTGGCTTCGATGACAGGGCCATCATCATATGAAAGCTCATCATTCGATGACAGACGGATGGATAACGGGCGGCAGGCTCCTAACCGTGGCCCGTGCAGGCGCAAGCCTTGCGTGTGTTAGGCTTCCAAGGAGTGAGGAGTCGATAGAGGCTTCTGTTCATGGACGAAACCCTAGTCTTGGGCCTGGAGTTTTTCACCACGGTCGGGGCCTGAGGTACCCGATATCGAACAGATTTCACAGGTCGGACAGGCCTCCCAGCCAGGCTCGGCACCATGGGTTTGGACAGATAAAATTGTAGAAAAATAATGCAAATGGGCATATCTGATACCAATCCGAAGCATCAGCTATAGGCACCCAGGGCTCCCTTAGCGCTCCCCATCAACCGAGTCACCACGGCACAATCGGCAACATCTCGACCACGCCGGTCACGGTAAATACCAACCCACTACTACAGATAGCTGTGACTCCCAGAAAGCTCAAACATCCACAGAATTGTGGAGATTCTCCGTTGCCGTGGTAAACGCGTGGTCCGCAACACGTAAGGTTTGTCCTCGTCGGCGAATACGAGGACAGGCGGTGTTCCGGTCCCACTAACCCGTCGCGGCCCGAAAGCTGATGGTGATGGAATCTGCATCGGCATCAGGGTTTATTAATGGGAGCAGGCACAACTGATTGGACAAACATCTGACACGGACAAACTTTGCACACCCGAGCTCTTGAAGTAGTGGTGGAATCTCCTCCATCCCATTGTGTTTTTCATTGTTGTTTGGCTCAGTATCTTGTCTGGATCTGGTCTTGGGCTCGTGCTCGGCGCGCCGCCTCCGAACTACCTCGTTCTGTACAGCATTGGCACACCTCGCTTCGAGCCAAGTCCTTCACCATGATCGGGATCATGTTCGAGAATCCCTACACGTACAGCCTAGGCGCCCGCTGTGGCTGTGAGCTCATTGGCACGATGATTGCGGTGAGTTGGGAGGACACGGGCAGGGCGATGCGTGCATCGGGCAGCCGTGCTCGGCACGCGAGTACGCAGCTCGACCACTTTCCACGCACGACCATGGATGCAGGTGTTTCTGGGCGATGCTTCCGTGGCAAACATGCTCCTGGCGAAGACGAAGGTGGGTGTTGCTGCGACGGAACCTTCACGGACGGAATGTGACGGGGTGGGAGTACACGTTCATCGATGCGGCCATTCTGAACTCTCTTCACCCCTCAACGGCATCACAGGGCAATGACTACGGCTGGGGCTTCTTGTCCTTTGGTTTCGGTCTGCCCTTTGGCTTCGTCACCATGAGTGAGTGGGGATCGCGGATTGAACGGTGCGCCAGGTGCATGTGGAGTTACATAGTGGAATCTTTGCCCCAGTGCACATGCAAGTCAGGGCCTCAACCCCCCCCCCCCCATCCCGACCATGCAATCACAGTGTTCAGCCACATCTCTGCCTACCTCAACCCCGCTGCCTGCCTCTTGCAGTGGGTGGTCGGCAATCTGAACGGGTAAGATGCTCATGAGGGGGGGCCGAGCGTGGCGGTATGGGGGGGCAGCTCTTGTGCCTGGAGTCTGTTGTTTGGCTGGAACCTTGTGGATGTCTGCTTGCCTGCCGTCCGCCCAGCCTCGATCCTGAGGGTCGAGGATGGGCGAGAGCAATGCATGACCCGCCTTGCAGCGGCGCCGCACTCCCCTCCCTCGCTACCCACCCCTCATCCTCCCACGGACCTCCAAACACCACAGGAAGGAGTTCCTCGCCCTGTCCTTCAGTGAGCTGGCGGGCGCCTTCCTGGGCGCCATCCTCCTGTGGCTCATCTACCTGCCCCACTTCAACATCGTGCCCGAGCCGCCCTCCGTCACCGACGCCGACCCCTTCCTGGAGGACCCCCTGATGGGCGCGGGCGCCAACCGCGTGTTCACCCCCGGCGAGCTGGCGGCCGGTGGCTACAACAACGACCCCCTGGAGCAGTATATGCGCCTGCACCCCGGCCAGGCCCTGCACAGCACGGTCAGGGACATTGGAGAGCTGCTGAGCACGGTGCAGGCCGACCTGCAGGCGCGCCAGGCGGAGCTGGCCCGCTCCCTGCAGCGCCCCTCGCTCAAGGATCGCGAGACGGTGGAGCAGCAGCTGGCGCACCTGCGTGAGCGCTCGCGCACGCTGTCGGAGCACGAGATGAAGGCCCGCATGGCTCAGGCCACGCTGGAGAAGGTGACTGCCAGCCGCACCGATGCGCGTGATGACAGCCTGAGCATGACCAAGCACTCCACCATCGACGTCGAGGATGGCGGGCGCGTGGCGCCGCCGCGCAAGACCCCCGCCGAGGTTCGTTACGAGGCGCTGCTCATCGCCGACCAGAACATCAAGCTGGGCATCTTCTCCACCCGCCCCGCCATCTACGCGCCCCACTGGAATTTCCTCTGCGAGTTCATGGCCACCGTGACCCTGCTGGTCATGGCCAACATGATCGCGGCGCGCGGGAACCAGCTGTACGAGCCGTCGCGTGGCCTCTTTGGGGCCCTGTTTGGCTTCATCCTCGGCTTCTTCATCTTCCTCATTGTGCTCGTGATCGGCGGGCCCACGGGGGTCGCCATCAACCCCGCCCGTGACCTGGGGCCCCGCATCGCCCACTGGATCCTGCCCATCCCAGGCAAGGGCCCCAGCGAGTTCATCACCTACGGCTGGATCCCCATCCTGGCGCCCTTCTGCGGCGGCGCCGCGGCAGGCGGCCTCTTCATCGCCCTGCAGAAGATGACCGCCTACAGCAATGTGCCCGCCGGCTCCGTCACCTGCTCCTGAGCGCCGGCCACGGCGACGCGACGCCGCTCGGTCTGTGGCCCCCCCATTGGGGACCTGCATTTTGCATCGCAGGGTGCCCTTTTCTCCACCCTGCATCAAACTCCCCAGGCACGGAACCCCAGCCACGTCTGGGACTGTTTTGAACCGAGCGCCCCAACTCCCAATCTGGGAACCCGGGGCCCCTCCTTTGTGCCGCAACCCGAATCGGGGAATATGCATCCGTGCACTTTTCCATCACAGCATCGAGTTCTTCTTGCAAACCGGTCCACCAAATGATACATGCATGGCACTGTGTGCATGCCAGCTACTATGGTATCCTCTCAAACCCTGAAATCAACCCCCGATTTTCTTTTCGATAAATGTAAGAATGGACGGCCAAGGACTTGGTGGCTTGGCAGGGCAGAGGATGGTTCTCTGGCAGTGGTGAGTCATCGGTAAGACTCCCGCAGGTACACCAGGTGAACACTTCCACCTCAATTAAAAATGCTCTCAGAGTGGATCCCAATCCTCTCCGGTGCCTGCAAGCCCTCGGGTCTACCTCGACAGCTCCTAGAGATATACATTCACGCTGATGCAAGGGAATGGGTATGCCGCCTGTGCATCAAGCCATTGGCCGGCACCAGCTAGCGCATAGATCATAAGCAGCGAGAAGACTTTCCTCTTTAACCCATATTCAAGAGTAAATGTATGCTCAATAGCCACCAATTGTCTCTTCTAAATAGCAGAGAGTAGTTGTGATTCTGAGCGCCAGCCATGGTTGGTAATTTGCCCAGGAGATACGCCCCTCGAGATTCGCGGGGCACAGATCCTACTCCTAGTCGGATATGTCCGTATCCAGGGACAGGCATTCCCATAGGCTGCACGCCCGTCCTGCTAATGATGCATGGCTTGATAGAAAAGAACATACCCAAACAAGCCGTCTCATTCATGCGTCGAAGAGGATACCGCGCGGTGGCCTCGATCATGTGCCCATGAATGGCGACGTGGCCAGCCCATTCTCATGAGTCAGGGATAGACTGCCCAACTTGAGGCGTAGCCTCCTCGCCGGCCCTCGCAGGCTTCAAACAATCCCTGCGACATGGTACCAGGAGATCTCCCGATTCCTTATTCGTATAGCCTCGGCGCGAGATGCGGGTCCGAATGTATCGGCAGCATGATGGCGGTGAGCCTTCTAGGGATAAATTGTGATGATGGGTCGGTCACATCAACACTATTCGCCTCTCCTACAAAGTTTAATGCTCCATCTCATCGCACAGCTCTATCTGGGCGGCTCTTCTATCGCCAATGAGCTCCTTGCCAAGACCAAGGTGTGCAGGAGGTAGGAGGGCTGTGCTGAGGTTCCGTCTTTTCAACCTGACCTGCTCTGCTCCCCTGGCCGGCAGCTGCACTGTCAGCCTGGCCCATACATTGGATTCCAAATCTTCTTTCAGGGGAATGGATACAGCTATGGCCACATGGCACTGGGGTTTGGGCTCGCCTTTGGACTCCCAACCATGGGTGAGGAAAGTGAGGAGTCAAAGCAGCTCCTGGGGTCATACAGCACCAGAAAGGGTGCAGGCACGGCCGCTCATCGCGGAGTCCGTTGCATCCAGCTCCCACCCATTCCTCCTCCTCTTGTACAGCGTTTGGCGGGTTATCAGCCTATCTCAACCCCGCAGCGTGCCTCTTCCAGTGCGTCGCTGGGAACCTATCCGGGTACGCTGGTGTGTTCTGGACGGCACCTGATGCGGGGTACTGAACAGGTTGGCCATGCCTCGAGTTGTACATCTGTGCACCTCAGCATCTTCTGCTACAGCAGTTGACAAGGCAAGCCTTCCCTTGCAACAAATCCCTATGCTGCATCGATCTTTGTCGGCTCATCCCTACCCCTTATGCTCTACATCCGCCCCCACTGCCCAGCATGCTTTAGCACCAAACCCAACCGCCACAACAACAGTGTGGAGTTCCTGGCGCTTTCGTTCAGTGAGGTGGCGGGTGCTTTCCTGGGCGCCGTCCTTGTCTGGCTCTGCTACCTCCCCCACTTCAACATCATGCCGGACCCACCCTCCATCGCCGACGCCGACCCCTACTATGGGGACCCACTCCTGGGAGGGGGTGCCTACCACACCCTCACCCCCACCCACCTGGCAGTAGGGGGGTACAATAGCGACCCCCTGGATCGGTATCTGCGTCGGAACCCTGGGCAGGCGCTGAAGGGGACCATGCGGAAGGTCTTGGGAACCATGCGGAGGGACCCACCGCATCACAGGTCTGGCATCCTGCAGGTGAATCTGCGTGCAATCTACCTTTGGCGAGACCGGTTCACCCCGTTTGCGCACGTGGTCCTGTGCGACCGCAGCCAGCATGTTGCAGCGGACAGGGCCCCTCACCGCCCCTCACCTCCCCTCACCCTCGATGGCCCTCCACACATACAGCACCCGCATCGCGTTGCTCCAGGATCCCGGACCCAGCCCCATGCTTTGGGCTCCCACCCATGGCACGGCGCGGCGACTCAGGGTGTGCGCCATGAGGAAGGCACTCTGGAGGAGATGAAGAAGATGTCCAGGTTGCAGTGTGGGGAGTGGGGCCAGGCTGGGCCACCCACCACCCAGCCACTCACCTGGAAAGAGCAGGCAGCGGCAGAGAGTGCGTCGCCGGCTGTCGGTGCAAATTACACGAGTCACTGGCTGAGGTGCGTTACGCCGCCTTGCTCATCGCCAAACAGAATATCAAGCTGGGCATCTTTGCCACCCAGCCCGCCATCTATGCGCTCCCCTGGAACTTTACCTGTGAATTCATGGCCACCGTGACCCTGCTCCTGGTGGCCAACCTGGTGGCTGCTCGCGGCAACACCCTACCCGAGCCAGCCAGGGGCCTGTTTGGAGCCCTGTATGGCTTCATGCTGGGCTTCATCATCTTCCTCATCGTCCTTGTGCTTGGGGGCCCCACTGGGGTCGCCACCAACCCCGCCCGCGACCTGGGCCCGCGCATCGCGCACTGGATCCTGCCCATCCCGGGCAAGGGGCCCAGCCAATTCCTGACCTACGGCTGGATCCCCGTCATCGCACCCCTGTGTGGGGGTGCGGCTGCGGGCGGCCTCTTTGTCGTCATCCAGAGACTGACGACAGCAAGCGACGTGCCGGCTGGCTCCATGGTCTGTGAAGGTCGCTGATGAAGGATTGTCTTGCATTCAGTCTCAGGATGTTGCAGTGCAGTCCTGTGCTCATCGTCCTGGCGCTGACTTGGTTGGGCAAGTATTCCGCTTTTCTCCCCAGCACTCTCCCTGAATTGAACAGTATACATCCAAGAGATGCATGTCGATCTTCTTCAGATTAGTACAATAGGTGTTACTACAACTCCATTCCCGTTAACTGGAAGCTCGATTTGAAGCAGTGAGAGGCCGACGGGACACATAAGTGAGGCAGAAGCATTGAAGCAGGCCCGACGTCCCCAGGCACTCCAGACTAAAGACCTCAGATTCCTCGAGGTGTGGGAAGACTGATTCATAGCAGAGGCACGCCTAGATGAAGATCAGACAAGCATGGTGCGAGGTGTCCAGATTAGGCAAGTCCCTGGCACACTGATGCAAATATTGTTAGGCAGGGACTGGCAACCAATACTTTAGACAGCAACTGCCGTAATACACGGACCTTGGATACTGTGCAAAGTACAAGCTTCCTGTCTTGACTCATCGTGTCTGCCAAAGAAGTCGGTTGGTTTGCACATTCTTCGTGTGAGCAAGTGTAAGCCCCATTCAAGAATGGCATCGGATTCGCCCGCCGGAAATTATTCGAGCTTTCGGAAGAGCCCCGCAATGCCAGACTCTGCCAGACAACGGTTTGTGCGCGAAGTCATCTCATCATTGACACCGATAGCTTGCAATAAAGCCATTATACCCCTCTTTGTAAATAGGTGGCCCTCCTCTCCTCTGCTATCATTGACCCCCAGCTGCAAGCCAACACTGCAATCGAGCCGGTGTTCGTGCCAAAATCTTGGCGATCGGCCCACAGAGATCGCAAGTCCATTAGAAGTATTGCAGCAGAGTGTGCAAGAGATTGTCTCACCTTGAGAACTCACCTGTCCCCGCTGGGTCGAATCATGCCTGAGATCGAATAATCTGGCAATTACGGAACTCCCAGCTTCCATGCTGGCGCGGCACCTACGAAAGGCGGCAGTGCTTGATGTACAGGGATTGAGACCCGCTATCGTCATTCTTTAGGCGGAACTCATCCAGTACTGATAGTTTAAGAGTGATTAAGACCTAGCATTGGGTTCTGTGTTGGATGTAAAGTGTCGCGCACCCTTGAGCTTGCATATTTCCGGAACCAGTGTGCCCATCGGGCTCCACTCGCACCATGATCGGGAGCATGTTCATGAACCCCTATTCGTACAGCCTTGGTGCCAGATGCGGGGCAGAAATCATCGGCACCATGATAGCGGTAGGCTAACGTAAATCTTGTGTCGGAGGCGCACCGCGGGGTCACCGTATCCAGCAACCAGGCTCATGTCTGAACCTCCTCATGCCCTCCGCAGCTTTTCCTAGGCGATGCTGCTGTCGCGAACGAGTTGCTGGCCAAAACAAAGGTATGTCGGTGTGTAATGAGGCTGTCCGGACTCTCATCGCCGCTCCGAGATTGGCAGGTTCCGTGCGCATGGAAACCAGCGCTGCGCATTCACCTCCCCACCGTGCCCCTCCCGCCATTCCCTAGGGAAATGGCTACGGCTGGGGATTCCTCTCGATGGGCTTCGGTTTAGCCTTTGGATTTGCGACTATGAGTGAGTGTGGGGCCAGTTGAGAGGGTTGCCTTGCGGTTTAGGAGAGCTACTGCTTCAGTCGTGTGTCAAACTGGTATGGAATGCACAGGCCATGCCTGACCCTCAGTGTCCCGCAACTCAGCCCAATTTCCCATGCACCGCAGTGTTCGATCATGTCTCTGCCTACCTCAATCCCGCTGCCTGCCTCTTCCAATGGGTTGTCGGCAATATCAATGGGTATGCAGATGGGTGCAGGGAAGGAGACATGTTTTTCCTCACGTTACACGGCATGGGAGAATTGATGTGCTCATGGGTCATTACAGTCCTTCATTGTAAAGCCTGCAGTTTGCTGCATGACAGGGATGTAACTCTCCTCCCCAATGCCAAACGTTTCCTCCTAGTGTCCTTCAGAACACCCCCATCCCCCCATCCAACTCCCCGCTCAGCACCGAGTTTCTGGCACTCGCCTTCAGTGAGCTGGCAGGCGCCTTCCTGGGCGCCATCCTCCTCTGGCTCTGCTACCTGCCCCACTTCAACGTCGTCCCCGAGCCGCCCTCCGTCACCGAACAGGACCCCTTCTTCGCCGACCCGCTGCTGGGCGCAGGGGCCAACCGCACCTTTTCCCCCACCGACCTGGCGGTGGGCGGGTACAACAACGACCCCCTGGACCGCCACATGCGCATGAACCCGGGCCAGGCCATCCAGGGGACCATGCGCGACATCGGGGCCGTGCTGGGGATCGTGCATGATGACATCAAGCAGCGCAAGGAGGAGCTGCTCAAGGTGAGGTGGCGGACGTGTGTGTTGTGGGGGGAACAGGGAGGCGTCAAGCCCTTGGGGGGGACGCCTGCTCCCTGCTCAGTGGTTGCTGGGCAGACCCTCCTCCTCAGCCACCTGCAGATCCAGAATGCACCCCCCCGCTCACCCCCTCCCCATCCATGGCCCCTCTCTTCCCCCTCAAAAACCCCTCCACCTGCGCCACAGTCCCTGGGCCGTGCCTCGGTCGTCAACAAGGATGACATTCGGCGCAAGATCGAGGTGCTGGACGAGCGCTCCCGCACCCTGACCGAGCACGAGGTGAGGGCACGGCGCGCTCAAGACACGCTGGACACCGTCATCCGGGGCGGGGAGCAGGGCATACGCAAGAGCGGGGACGGTTTCGGCGGCCCCGTCAGCCGCCCCAGCACCGCCGACGAGGAGGGCCTGGACGGGGTGCAGCTCCCAAAGACCCCCGCCGAGGTTCGTTAGGAGGCGCTGCTGGTCGCCGACCAGAACATCAAGCTGGGCATTTTCTGCACCCGCCCCGCCATCTACGCGCCCCACTGGAACTTCCTCTGCGAGTTCATGGCCACCGTGACCCTGCTGGTCATGGCCAACATGATCGCGGCGCGCGGGAGCCTGCTGTACGAGCCGGCGCGGGGCCTCTTTGGGGCCCTCTTTGGCTTCATCCTCGGCTTCTTCATCTTCCTCATTGTGCTCGTGATCGGCGGGCCCACGGGGGTCGCCATCAACCCCGCCCGCGACCTGGGGCCCCGCATCGCACACTGGATGCTGCCCATCCCGGGCAAGGGGCCCAGCGAGTTCCTGACCTACGGCTGGATCCCCGTCATCGCACCCCTGTGCGGGGGAGCGGCGGCCGGCGGCTTGTTCATCCTCATCCAGAAGTTCACGGGGGAGACCAACGTTCCCCCGGGCTCCGTGGTCTGCCCTAATGTCTGAACCTCACCCTGGAGTCACACCGACCCTGCAACACCCCTCCTGGGCCAAGAATGCATTGGCAGGCGAAGCCTGCCCTTTTTACAAGGTTTTTGGGTGTCTGACTGGACACAACCTCGGAGCTCCTTGTCGAAAACAATGAGGAATGGTCTGCCTGTCCAACCTCACCAACAATCTCTCCCCTTTCCACCCCATGCGCTTCCAATCAAGATCACTGCTTGAATGCCTCACGATTCCTTTTTCGGGAATGACCCAGCAAGCTGTCGCCTAAACCGCCATTCCATGCCCCCCTTTTTGCGTCCATTTTGCGTCTTGAGGATTCTACTCTTGCTTGCTTGTATGCCTGTGGGATGTTAGCCTGTCAATTCCAATACGCCATGGAAGAGCCTGCTGCCTCTTCATCGTACAGATGGGCAGGAGGAGAAGATCATGGAAAAAATGGGAATCAAACTGTCGGATGTCCAGTGCATTTCAATCAAGCACGCACTTGGCAGGACGGGTGGATACCGTCCTCCCGCATGTGCCTCTCCAGCGCCCACGCCTTACATCATCCACACCGTGAGCTTCGAATAGGAGGCACGAAATCGGTCGGCATCTCTTTCCGTACCAAACCTGTAATTCAAACCAGCTCTATAATGCATCCGGCGAATCAGAATTTGTCTTAGATGGCCTACGGCACTTGATTTCGTTGTAGCCATCGGCTAGGGTTCTCGTCGACCTGCGAGCCGGAACCCCAACCATCCCGACGCCATGATTGGAAGCATGTTTCTGAGCCCCTATTCCTACAGTTTGGGGGCGAGATGCGGGGCAGAGGTCATTGGCACCATGCTCGCGGTGAGTTTGAGCCCAGTTCTGGACAGTGGGTACGGATGAGTTGACACCCAGGCGGCGAGCTGGAGATACGAGCCGACACCCATCCCTCACCCCCTTCCACGCAGCTCTTCCTGGGAGATGCGGCTGTGGCAAATGAGCTGCTAGCCAAGACCAAGGTGGGATGAGGGATGCTGTGCGCATGTGCGAGCAAGCCTTCGCGGGATTGAGGGTGGCCCCGGCTGCCTGGGGTTGGGGATTGAAGGTGTCTTGGTGAGCACTTTCCCAGCCTATTTGAATCACAGGGAAATGGATATGGCTGGGGATTCTTGGCCATAGGTTTCGGTCTAGCATTCGGATTTCCTACCATGAGTGAGTATTGGCTGGCACAAGGGGTGCAGACTGGGGTGCTTGCGAGGAGCAGGTGCAGGTGGATAAGTTGGGAAATGATCTGGCATGAGCAGTCCTGAACAGCTGTGCTTGGCTGATGTCCACATTACAAGTCCTGATGTGTGCTCTCCACCTTCCTCATGCCAGTGTTCGGGCACATCTCCGCTTTCCTCAACCCAGCGGCCTGTCTGTTCCAGTGGGTGGCGGGGAACCTCTCAGTGTGAGTTCCAGAGGGGGAGTCTAGGAAGGTGGTTGGAATCACAACAGAATGCAGGGGGGCATGTCGTCGGGGTCATCCATTCTGCCCCATGTGCCTGATCGCACTGTGTGTTACTTTCCAACCGTCTTCGGCTGCAGCTATGAGTTCCTTTTGCCGTTGCCAATGTCCCGCTGTCACTCAGCCCCGCGCGGCAGTGTCCTCCCCCGCACCGCCTGCCCAACGCTGCCCCAGCACACTCACGCCACAGCACCGAGTTCCTGGCGCTGTCCTTCAGTGAGCTGGCGGGCGCCTTCCTGGGCGCCATCCTCCTGTGGCTCATCTACCTGCCCCACTTCAACGTCGTCCCCGAGCCGCCCTCCGTCACCGAGGCCGACCCCTTCCTCGCCGACCCTTTGCTTGGTGGGGGCGCCAACCGCACCTTCTCCCCATCCGACCTGGCGGTGGGGGGCTATAACAACGACCCCAAGGACCAGCACCGCCGTGTGCGCCCCGGCGAGGCCATCCAGGGGACCATGCGGGAGATCGGGACGGTGCTGGGGCTGGTGCACAGCAACATCAAGGCGCAGCGGGCCGAGCTCCTGAAGGCAAGGGCCGGGTGCATTGTGCAGATGGGCAGACTATGCTCTGCTCCGTGGACCTGGGTATAGTTCAATCTCCCGTGCGCATGCTGGATGCCCTGGACAGGTCCAGACACTCTTACCGACCCACTCCCCAGTGACCCTGCCTCTGCTGCGACCCGCCTGTCGACGACGCCATCATCCCCGCTTTCCACTTCCCCCAAGAATCAATGGTCCACCTCACCCCGCCCCCCAGTCGCTCCGCTGCGCAACGGTGACCAACAAGGAGGAGATTCAGCGGCGGCTGGACCTGCTGGAGGAGCGCTCACGCACGCTCAGCGAGCACGAGCAGCGCACGCGGCAGGTGGAAGACACCCTGGAGTCGGTGATGGGACGCGAGGGTGAGGCGCCGCGCCACGACGACGGCCAGGGGCTGGCTTGCACCGCCGGCGAGGAGGACGAGGAATGCGTGGGGTGCCTGGAGCTGCCGCGGCCGCCGGCGCAGCTACGCTACGAGGCACTGCTGATCGCCGACCAGAACACGAAGCTGGGCATCTTTGCCACGCGCCCCGCCATCTACGCGCCCCACTGGAACTTCCTCTGCGAGTTCATGGGGACGATCACCCTGCTGGTCATGGCCAACATGATCGCTGCGCGCGGAAACCAGCTGTACGAGCCGTCCAGAGGGCTGTTTGATGCGCAGTTTGGGTTCACCCTCGCCTTTTTCATCTTCCTCATCGTGCTGGTGCTGGGAGGGCCCACGGGAGTCGCCATCAACCCCGCCCGCGACTTGGGCCCCCGCATCGCCCACTGGATGCTGCCCATCCCGGGCAAGGGCCCCAGCGAGTTCCTGACCTACGGCTGGATCCCCGTCGTCGCGTCGCTGGCGGGGGGCGCCGCGGCAGGGGGCCTCTTCCTCGCCCTGCAGAAGTTCACGACCATGACAGACGTGCCCGCCGGCTCGGTGGTCTGCCCAAACACCTGAGGCAGCGTCCTGTTGCCGTAAAGACTCAGGCGGGCAGTGCACGCCCATGAGATGCAGTGTTTGTTTTTGCTCAGTGGCAAGAAGGATTCGCTCCTACGCAGAGGAGACTCCAAACACCCAGCAGCCTGGTCTGCTACAGAGCTTTATTCACAGCGTTTCCTTCACCATGGACGTTGATCTTCCACTTTCGTTTGCATCCCCAGGCATGCTGTTATTACGCTCCGGAGCAGCTCCTGTGCATACCTGAACCCTTTTGCAGCCCTTTTCAGAGCACCATGTTCGCGTCTCAACCAAAGAGCTGCCTTCTGCCACGATTACTAATTCCCAGTGCGGCCCTGTCAAGTAACCCCTTTCGAAGCAGAGGCCTCTTCACTGGTGTACACAGGGGAATAAGTACAGGGCAGGGACTAAAAGTAATCATGATCTCCGCCCCTGCAGCCCCGTCTCCCGCTCCTCCTCGTACTCAATCTCCACCCCGCGCCGCCCCTTCCTCCTCTTCTGCGCACCGCCATCTGCGGCCGGGGCGGCAAGCGCCAGGGGAGCCGCCTGCCGGTTTTGCCGTGCGGTGGGTGCGGGCGCCGCAGCAGCGGCGTCCTCGTCGCTGCCGGAGACACCCTCCCAGTCCTCCATGTCATCCTCCTCCTCATCAAAGTCGCCGTCATCCAGATACTCCACCTCCTCCACCTCCTCCTCCTCCTCCTCGTCATCCTCCTGTGAGGGGATGAGTGACATGTTGGGCGAGTTCTATACAAACTGCGCAGGGCTGTGAACACAAGGCCAGCAGTCCACCTCGAGCGCATATCACCTAGCAAAACATCCATACACCTTAGCTGCTTGACGATCGAGCAGGCAGCACAAACTCAGGCCCTTTGCCCCAGTCCTGCACAACACCCTTCGCCACCTCATACCTCATCGCTGGTATCCTCATCTCCCTCCACATACTCCTCCAGTTCCTCCTCCTCCTCAATTTCCTTTTCAATTTCCTTGGCGTCGTCTGAAACAGTCTCCCCCTCCAGCACCTGAGGTGGTCATTTGAGGGCGTGACTCAGATCTTGCTGAGCACAGGAAGGCATTGAGACTAAGCGAGCACTTGCAATGAATTGCACTCCCACTGCAACCTGCATCGCATATGTCTTGGGAGGACATGTGTTGTGTGATAGTGGGGTGTTGGCATCCCGCAGCCAGGTAGCTCAGCCCAAGGGCCCTCACCTTGTTGTACTGCTTGGAGGGAAAGTTGTAGATGTCGCCGTAGGTCCCGGCTTGCAGGCGCGCCAGCAGCTCCTTCTCGATGGACTTGTCCAGCTGCGCTGCGGTTTCCGCCTTGGCCTCCTTGCGCTTCAGCTGCTTCTCCTTCCGCGCCGGCAGTGTGATGAGCTTCGGCCTGGCCTTCAGCGTCAGCTTCCGCATGCGGATGAGGTACTGCGTGATCTTGGTCAGCCGCTGCTTGTTCTTGTGCACCAGGAACTTTGGGAAGTAGGCGAGGTGCTCGTCCAATTGTGCAAGTGCCTGGAGGAAGGGGGAGGGGTGTGGCAGTGGCGTGAGGGACTCGTGTATGGACAGAGGGTTAGGGAGGAGGCTTGCACGCGGGAGGCTTGCGCTGTGTCACCATCGAGTGCATCAGTCTTGGCATTAATCAGGAGTATATACCCTTCTGTGGACAGGCTGTAGACTTGCCACCCGCCGATCCAAGCAGCCTTCTGACCCCTTCCCCATCCAATGATGACTGCCCCCTGTATCACTGTCCCTCCCTCCCACCCACCCCGTCGACATACCAGGCTGTAGTTCTTCTTCAGTCGGATGCGCTGCCAGAGGTTCTTGGGAGAGTGTGCGCGCTCGATGGTCTTCATGTACAGGTAGCATCGCCCGTTGTCCTCCCGGATAGTGGCATACCGGCTGTTTGCCAGGGGGCAGGAGCTGCGGTTGCAGAGGCCAGTCACGTTGTACTCGTTCCTACAGAAATTCTGGGTCTGGGTCTTTGCCCGGAAACTACAGTGGCCATGGTTGATGACCTGCCAGATGACCTGTGGGCGGAGTGAGGGAGGGGGAAGCGCTGATGGGCGACCAGCCGTCGGGGAGGTGGCCAGGGCCAGATGGCTCACTTCGGGTTCTTAAGAGGCACTCCACACAACCTCGCATTCACCTCGTCATGCTGCATGCCGTCTCGGACTCGTTGTCGGCTCTATCCTACGCTGGGAGGCGAGCTCGTAGGTCCACCAGCAGGGCGCGAGTGTGGTATGCAACGCAGGCACTCCCGGCTATCGACACACGATGACAAAGTGATTTGAAGCTAATTACTTTTGTTGTATATGCCGTGCGTCTTTGACTGGTCTGGGTGCATTCGGACGCCCGGGTGTGGGTCCGCAAACATGCATGCACGGCTTTCTCACACCTCGCATGGCCAGTGCTGAGGGCGCCACGCGCGCGAGAATACTATGAGAAAGGTCGCTCCATAACTTCGCGGGAGCTGGCGGTGTACGTAAACAGCTGACAGTGGCAGCCTCGAGCAAACATATGCAACATATGCGAGTCGAAGATATGTCGCTACCGGGCTTGCGCCGGTTGCACAGCTGCTTCCCGCAAGCGGGATCTGACTGGCGCAGTTGGTTGCCTCGATCGGCGAACCAGGGGGTGGGGGGGGGGGAGGGCGGGAGAAGACGATACAGGGGGTCCACCAAATGCAGTGGGACGAAGTGCATTCGCAAAAAAGCACTTTGTCAGCATCAGCAT